GTGTCACAATCGGGCAAAAACAACGTGCCTGCGCCCGATCACCACAGCCAAAACGCAGGCCACGCAGCTGTGCACCGCCCCTTGACAAGGCTGTGACCCCCTCCCACCTGCTTCTCAAAGCTGTACCAATTGAACTGCGACGACACCTCCACGCGCCCCTCCTCCACGCCGCCCGGCGCGGGCTCCTCATGGGCGCACAAGTGGTCGCCCGTGAACAGCGCCTCGTGGGGCCGCGACAGCAGGCACAGGTGGTGGCTGGTGTGGCCGGGCGTGTGGATGATCTGGACATCGTCCCCCCCGTCCGGCAGCGTCCAGGGGCCAGTGCCGGTGAGCTGGACCTCGGACGCGTCCGTGCCCTGCCGGGCCGTCGCCTCGCGCTCGTGGATGACGCGGGAGGCGCCAAAGTGGGAGGCCCAGCGCTGGTGGCCGGCCACGTCGTCCCTGGGGGAGACGCGTGGAGACGACAGAGGCGGTCCACTCGCAGGTTTGGGGATGGGCCATGGGGGACCGGTGCTGGCGGCAAGGTTGAAATAATGCAGCTGAGAGGAAGGGGAGTGAGAGCAAAGCAGCTGGCGCGAAGCTTCTAACGGCCCGGCCTGAGCACCTGTGTGTGAGGAAGAGCCACTTGACGCCGCCGAGCTCGGCTATGCGCTTTGCCAGGACGGGGTTGAACCTAGGGTTGTAGGGTTGGTAGGGGTGAATTGGTCAGGGTGGGTTGATGGGGGGCTGGCGAGGACGGAGGTTGGGGGAAGAGGTTGACAGGCGAGGGAGCCTCCCTCCGCTCTAAAGTCATGGAAAGGCAGTTGCTGGCAACTCAGTTGCAGCGCTGAATGGCGCTGCATGGGACGTTCCAATGTGAGGGCTGCCAAGAGGTGCTTGCAGCACGACTCGCTTTCATGGTGCGTGCGAGCGCGCGCGCGCGCGCGCGCGTGTGTGTGTGTGTGGCGGCGCGCACCTGGGACAGTCAACCATCACGTTTCCTCCCTCTGGGCGCACGATCAGCCAGCTCGCGCCGCCGAACGTTTCCTCTGAGTGCCAGCCGCAGTAGTACACCCCGGGCGCGGCTGTCGGCCAGGGGCGGGGGAGGCCGGCCTGCGCCGCCTTGAGCTCTGCGGGGTCTCTATGAGTTGCGTGTATGGAGAAGCTGCGGCAGGCGCGCACGCGTTTGCAGGGATGGTGCGCGCACGTGTGCGTGTATGTGTGAGGGGAAAGTGTGGGCAGACTGGGGGCGTGTGGGTGGGGAAGATGGGGAGACAATGGCGAGACCGCCTGCTTGCCTCAATGAGCGGGGACCTGGCAACAAGGTGGGGACCTCGCACCAAGCCGCGCGTGCACGGCAGGCTGGCATCACACGTTCTAGTGCCTCACGTGGGGCAGGACAGCACCGCCTGCAGCGCCTCGATGCGTGCGGCGGCGTCCAACGGCTGTGACGTGACGGCCGCCTGCCCGTCCACGTGCTTGAAGGAACCCGGCGCGACCCAGCGGCACGTGGCGCAGTCGATGCAGGTGTGGTCAACGTAAAAGTTACCGGGGGCGTTCTGGATGATCGGGAGGAGGGGGCCAGGGGGAATCATGTGGGGTGTCCCAGGGGTCGTGGTGGCAGGGGGCGCAGGGCGAGCGGCTGCAGTAGCTGGGCAAACTAGCTTTGACCACAGCTGCGACAACTGTAACAAATTGAAGCTCATGCAATGGCATGCTCGTCGTATGTGCAGGATCGTAGCCAAGCTAGCAGGGCGCAGAGCATGCATGCGCAAGCATTGCGGTGCACCCAAGCTGACCTCGGGGCGAGCGTCTCGTGAGGCGTGCGTGGCTGCAAGTGCGGATCCTGCCAGCCTGCGCTTGTAGCGTGGGCCATAAGGACGAGCCGTGTCCAACCTGCACCGGAGATGACGTACGCATGCTGACATGATGACAATCGCACAGATCGCGACGGTGCTTCAAGGTAAGTAGAATATCTGTTTTGCATTTGGTGATGGAGAGATGTTTTTGCTTTTTTATCGGTGTGTTTTGTTTATTGGGAAGCTTGCCCCCTGTCGGCCAGCGGTGTCACCGCACGGTTGGTGACGTGGCAACTGCACAGTGCTGGACTCACTCAGGACGAGAGTGCCGCCTCAAGCTGGTGTTTGGTGACATGTATGTGATCCACCAGTAGTCAAGATGACCGCCTGCTGGGGGCCCGACGTGCCAATGGTTCTTGCAGGGGGCGCAGCGGGCACAGCAGACACCACCAAGCAACAAAGCATACACCACTGAGCAAAGCAACAGACGCAATCGCGGCCGCAATCGAATTTGTCGACAACGGCAGTCACGGTTGACAAAAGTCAACCACACTCTGACTGCTCTTTTGTCAGCAAGGCATGCCGGCGTTGCCGCGCCGAACCGAAGTGACAGCTTGTTGAAGGAGACGTCACAGGGTCCGCGGACACCAAACCCATGCATGACCAAGTTGGCCAGCAGATTGCACGGTTGTATGTAGCTCATCGCCCTGCAGAGGCAAGCCCATGCAGGCCCTGATGGCCTCAGGCAGGTCGCTGAGCCTTTCCTCCCCTGACGTCACTCTGGTGCCTCGCGCCCAATAGTAAGCTCCTCCAACCTTTCACAGGCTTGCCTGCGATATCAACAAATGCTGACTCACTCCCACTCTCTCTCTGTACTATATCAGAGAGAGAGAGAGAGAGAGAGAGAGAGAGAGAGAGAGAGAGACTGTGTGTGTGTTTCTGCCAACTGCGTCATCTACAAATGACGAGCAAACGGCTGCGTTACACAAGCGCACACAGACCATTCAGGCCGCACGCTGTGGGCACATCTGCAGGGTCGGCGTTATACAAAGAGTGCAGTGTGAAGGTGCGCGCGCGGCTGCTCTTGCTGCGATGCTGCAACCTGACCCCGCAGATTGGTAAAGGGAGCATGAGAGGACCTACTAGGCTGCAATACGGTCTGAGTCTGTCGGCGGGCCACGCGCAGTTCTGGCGCGTGCTCAGGAGAAGAGTCAGTGCTGTGGCGCCGCTGCCGCGCGAGCCGAGGCACAGCGCGCTTGCTCGTATGCGTATGCGCCAGGGGGGGCGACGCCCGCGGCGAGGCAGGGGGCGAGGCGCCCACTGTGATGGTCAATGGTTGATGAAATAAGTCATGCCACAAAGAGGTGGGGTAGAGGTGGTGGAAATTCGCGAGGAGGCAGTCAACAGGAGGCACAGCTGCTGCACTGTGTCTAAACCCTCACAAGGCACGGCCATGCAGGCCGCACGGCCGAGGTGTTGCGGAGCCCCGACCAGCAAGGAGGCCGTCGCCGTCGCGGCGCGCGTCGTCGAGCACCGGGGCCCCGGGCACCGGCCGCCCTCGGGGGCCGCTCTCTCACAGCCCCTCCAGCAGCGCGTGCAGCCGGTTGCGCGCCTCGACGCTGCCGCACGGCTCCCCGACCGGCGCCGCGTGCGCCTGCGCGGCAGAGGCGCCCCCGCCGCCGCCCCCCATCGGCCCGCTGATGGCCACGCCCGACACCGTCTTTGGCGCGCCGGCCGAGAGCACCGCGTGAATCGGCGCGCCGGCGCCGGCGCCTGGCTGCAGGTGCACCTTCACGGGCACCAGGTGCATCGTCAGCGTGCCGCCGCCCTGCAGCCACGCCGGCGGCAGCGCGCCGCCGCCCGCGGGCCCGCCGGCGGCGGTCACCGG